GCTTGTCAAAGTAGGTTGGCCGCTTTCAATCTGGCACCCTATTAAAACCTAGAACAGCTGAGTCTTCATTGCTCAGTTGTTCTGTGCTACATTCTGCTGCTAGCTGTTTTAGGAATACTTGCTATACACATTTAGTTATAGGAAGAACTCAAATGAAAATGGGTGGTGAATATGTGGTCTAAAAGGTACAGGGTGCTCTTTAAGGGGAAAAAATCCATCCCCACACCATATATAAATACATAATAGAAATAATGATAATCCCAATTTGCTCATAAAAAAGAGTTTATTCATACATACAAAGTGCATCAGAATATCTTAACAGAAGGAAAGTGCATAGTATAGTCCCCATTGTGGTTACTATGGTAACTTATTGTTACATGCACTTTTTTATTTACATTTTCACACTGGTAATTGCTATGTAGTGATTGCTGTTAAAACATAACAACAAGGATGGAGTCCTTTTGGTAATTTGTAATCACTGATATCGACTGACTTTTGTTAATAACAACAGCTTACAACAGATGATTAACCATGAGGCTGGAAAAGAAGTGTAGAGAATTAAAAATGCTTTTTAGTTTTCAACATATAACACACTGCAAAAAAAATGTAAACATGCGAAGCATCATAATATACAGGTTTTGTTCCATCGCAATATATCTAAATCTTGTTTTTTCTATATATGCAGAAAAAACTTCAAGTTTAATTTAGTCAATTTGAAAAGTAGTTTGTTGAGATTATGTACACAGTCTTAATAAACAACCCCCACCAAAAATATGAAGTTCTCATGAGTACTTAGTGTACCTATCATGCAAATTTAGAGTGATATATTCTACAATGAGACCTGGTCATATTAAAAAGATATTAGATTAAAAAACAATGACATATGACCGCACTAGCATTTATAAGATTTGGAAAAATGTATTCGCATATTTGTACTCTAATTATGTCTAAAAATAGCCATCTAAAAAAATTAAAAAATAAATACCACAAGTATTGACAGTATAATATGCATTAATGAGACTCTCAGTCTTTTAAAGTGAGAAAACATATTTGTTATAATAAAAAATAAAATCAGCAAATAAACCATTATTTAAAATATAAAAGCACAGTAATTCCTAATTGTAATTTCTGCCTTTCAGTAAGTGCCAACTGTAATAGCATTCTTTTCAAAGTAAGTCAAAGTTGATTCAGTGGATTGCACCAAAGTCTCATTAGAAAAGTATATATTGACAATGATGGAAGAGTAGAATAGGTATTTATAGTATTTTGAATGATAAGTTGATTCATTTCTCAGTGTAAGTCTTGAGCATATGGTAATATCATCAATTACAAGTTTAAAGAGTTAGGAATGCAAATCCATATTTCTCATGCCAACTGTTTTTGTAAATATCGTCTTTATTGTATTTTTTTTATTTTTTTTTGGTATGTCATGAGGCCAAACATTGCCTCGAGAGTTTGAGACACGCAGGTCTCGCAAGAATCTCGGAAATAATTGCAACAGAATGAAAAGCAAAAAGAAATTCCAAAAATATATAGACATGCAGGTCTTGCAATCAATCAAGATCAGGAAGGAGGTTCAGCGCTGATAGGAAAACAGAGAATATGACAGCAAGGCAGCACACCTATGGAAAAGGGGAATCCCCTCTAAGCCCATTGGAATACAATGGAGAGAAAAGCACAAATAAGGGTGCGCCTAAGACAAGTAGAATGAATGTATAAAAATATGTATCAGAGAGTCCAAGCAGCGATACCTAGAAAGTCTGGATATAAATAATCCACATATGCAAGAGGTAGTCCTAGTGCTACATAAAATGGTATGTGAAGTCCCAGATGTATATCCGCAGCTTCAAAATGGATATGTGAAGAAAACAGAAGACAAGGGAAACTCCAATGGTATAGTATGAACGGTAAATAATATTGTATATAGAATAGTAGAACTACTCATAATATTCAGAGCTTAAATCCAGCTCTGGTGTAAATGGCACGTAGTGGAATAATCCCCACTCAAGGATATACGGTGCTCCTCTTTTGTTCTTTAGCAAAGTACTTTGGTGGAGTAGTCCAGCTCGAGGTAAAAAAATAAAATATAGTGCTCACTGTATAGTTGATAAAATGTAAAAACAGAATAAAATATACTCACGGTATATAGAGCAGACGTACTGCTCGGTGGATGGCGTATGGGTGGTATAATCCCCACGTTAGGATTCTTGGTACTCCAATATGGACAAAAAGATAGTAGTGGTCAGGTCTGAATAAAATAAACTTGCAAATAGTAAAATAATAAAATTATACTAAAAGAAGAAAATATAATACTAAGGTGGAAAGAGGAATGTGGCAACCAAATGTATAATAGCCAAATATTCCTTTATTAGCACTTAGATTATATAAAAAGTTCCTATACGTGTTTCGCCACAATAGGCTTCATCAAGTAGAAACTTATAAAATTTGCAATCAATGTTTGGTTTGGAGACTCGCAGGTCTCTCGTCTTACATCATGCCATAACAGAGGAGGGGTCTATCGGGCCTCAGACCCCAACCTTTCCTTAATTATTTTATGTGGATGGGATGTGTGCCCCACTTCTGAAACCGTAAGTCCTCTGGGCACTGTCGGCTTGTGGGCTTGCAGGCCCTGAGTGTTAGGTATGCAGTTAGTGTCCCCTCCGACCCCTATTCCAAGGTATTATTTTTCATGTGTGTTTGGCTCTGTTTGGAGACCTGAGATGTATTTCCTCCAGGTGGGGGCCCAGGATTGGGTCTGGGTTAGGCAGGTAAAGGGAACCATCCCTCTTCAGTTCGGAGTTAAGCTACATAAGGAGAGTTTCCTAATTGTGTTCCTCTGGGATTGATCTTTAAATGTTGCCAGCCACTCTCCTCCCCTACCTCCTATTCCTCCTGTTCTTGGCTCCTTGCCCTTGTGTACGAGGTGAGGTACCTGCTCCGCGCACCCTGGTCCCATGATCTGGCCGCCAGACCCCTCCCCTGTCTGTCTGGTGAGCCTGTGGGGCCGCTATGTGAAGCCCGGTTAGGGTCTCCTAAACTTGACTCTTGCATTGCTATCATAGTCCTAGGTCATTGTATGGTCAGGTTTCACTCGCGGTCTGAAAATGTGCGGCCAGTCCCTTTGTTGCTATGGCTCCTGTTGGTGATTGTTATTACCCGCCTGTCTTTGCTTTAGGGTGTCAATATGGTCTCTGCTCAAGGACCAAGTATGCCACCTGTGTCTGTAGTTCGTGAAGTGTTGTATTTTAGTGTAGTATCGTAAAGAGAGGAGAATTGGTCTGGTGAGGAAGGAATTGGCGCCGTTAGTCTGAGTGCCGTGAACATCCCCCCCCCTCTTCTACCCCTGGAGCCCCCACAGGTCCCACCACCCCCACCTGTGGTGTATTTGATCCCTGGTTTCCACCTTTCAACATGTTTATCGCTTCTTCCCATCAACGATGCCCTTATAGCCTCCGCTGAGTAGATCTCCTCCATCCTTTCATACCATTGCACAAGTGTCAGGGGTTGTGTTTGTTTCCACATGCTGTGTCGAGTATGTGCCTCATAATGGATTTTTTGTAATGTGAGATTGGCTCCGGCATGGAGTGTAACAGGGTTTGATCCATCATCAGAGGTGTTGCAGTGCCCAGAATTTCCTCGATTTTTGTTGTTGACCGAGGCCCAGAATGGTGCTATTTCAGGACAGTCCCACCATGTGTGCCTCATGGTCACTTCTCCCTCTTGGCACCTCCAGCATGTTGCTGGGAAAAACTGGAAAATCCTGTGCAGGAGTGCTGGCGTTTTATACCATTGCAACAGGAGTTTATAATTGACTTCTTGGTACCGGGTACTTATTGAAGATTTATGGTGTAGAGTGAGTATCATTTCCCATTGGGTGGAGGTGAATGTAGCTTCCGGTGATGTGTTTCCACTGCCATTTGAACGTGTGTATTTCTGAGCGGTGAAAGAGAGTAGTCTAGGCAAGATGTTAATTTTTATAACCACTATGCACCCCATCCACGAAATGTGTTGATAGTTCCAGGTGCGGAGATCTTGCAATATCTTAGTTAGGAGGGGTATGAAGTTAGTTTGGTAAAGTACGCTCAAGTTGATATTTTTTATCTTGGAATCGCACCAATGGAATTGGAACTGGATACGTAGTGAGTTTCATTCCCCGCTGGGGGTCGTGATGTTTAGGACCTCAAATTTTGATAGGTTCAATAAGAGACCTGAGAGACAGCCGTAGGATATAAATTCTTGCATCAAACATGGTAAAGAGATTCTGAGTTGCGTAACAAAGAAGCATATGATCGGCGTATGCCACTGTTTTATGCGTGATGCCACTCAAATTAAAACCCCTGATGTCCCTTTTGCGCCTTATTGCTTCCAGAAGGGATCCCAACATCAAGGCAAAGAGCAATGGAGAGAGAGGGCACCCCTGCCTGGTCCCGTTCCGAATTGGGAAAGTGTCAGTGAGAGCTTCATTTACCTTTACACAAGCATTCAGCCGACTATAAATGGCATACATCCATGCGAGCAGGTTAGGTCCAAATGACGTCACTCTGAGCGTCTCCGTTAGGACAATCCAGTCCACCTGGTCAAAAGTCTCCTCCGCATCAGTGGAAAGCAGGAGCATGTGCTCTCCTCTTTTTCTTGCAAGGTGTTGTATGGAAAGTACTCTAAGCATGCTGTCCCATGCCTCTCTGCCCGGGATAAATCCCATTTGATCCGGGTGGACTAGTTTCGGTAGTAGCGTGTTCAGTCAGCTCGCCAGGACCTTGGTGAATAGTTTGATGTCCACATTCAAGAGGGAAATAGGCCTGTAGCTGCTGCAAAGCTCTGGTCTTTGCTGGGCTTGGGGAGAATGGTTATCGTTGATGCCATTGTTTCGACGTGAAACCTAGTCCCTGACATGAGTACTTTGATGAGTTTAGGGATGAGCGTATCATCCAAATCTCTTTGAGTTTAGGGATGAGCGTATCTCCAAATCTCTTGTAGTATTCCTGGGAGAATCCATCTGCCTGTTTTTGCGATCTTAATTGCCGCCTTCAGCTCATCATCCTTGATTGGCGATCCATGAGATCCGCTTCTTTTCACAGTTTTGGAGAGGACGTTTGAGAGATATTGTTGAATTGCCTCTGTCTTAGTGTGTGAGCGGTCTGTTGGGGTTTGCTGTCATAGGTTGTATAAGTTCAAATAAAAAGTGCGGAATTCAGTCACTATAAGTTCCGGGTGTTGCATCATCTTGCACCCTGTTAGTTTCAGTTTGTGTACATGTGCATGGATTTGTTGACCTCTGAGTATCCAGCCAGGAGTTTGCCCCCTTTATTCTCGCGTATGTAAAAAAAAAAGCGTGTCTTTTCATGTGTCTACAGTGCTTTTTTGATGAACATTGCCTGCAGCTGCCTCCTAAGATCCAGCAATACCATGTAATCCTCGACAGAGAGAGAGAGTCCTTTTTGTGTCTCACCTCGATGTCCCCGATTTTGGAAAGTAAGTTGTCCATCTGTAGAGCGTCCCTCTTTTTCTTAGTTGCTAGTTGGATAATGAGGCCCCAGTCCAGTGCCTGGACGATGGGCTCCCTGATTTCTATGGCCATCAGCAAAGCTTTAAGTCTCCAGCTCATTTTGGGTCGTGAGAGTGCTGAATCCATCTCCATTAGTACCTATCCGTGGTGGGACCAGGTAGCAGCTTCGATGTCAGCTCCCTGTAACTTGGGTAGTGATTTCTATTGGAGGAACAGGAAATCAATCCTCGAGTATCTTGCGTGGACCCCTGAATAGTGTGTATAGTCCATCGTGGGATGCAGCGCTCTCCAGCAATCTACAAGTCTTAAGCGTCGGAGAGACTTCTGTATGCCCCTGATTTCGCTTTGCGGTATGCTACTATGCCCTGATGGTTGGGCCAATCCCATGCACTCTGTGACAAACTGCCATTTGCCACTGGGCATTGGAGAGGACTGATTGCTGGCCTCCTGCCCTGCGACTATGGCCCTGGGATGTATTGCCCTTTAAGAACTGATTTGGGCTTATGGACTTTTATTGTACAGTTCTGGCCCTTTTAAAAACAGTGTATGGACACATGGAAACTTTTTTGACACTTTTTCTTCCCTTTTGAATCCCTGGGAAGGTGAGGCTCTTCCCCTCCCCCAACTCCATTGTTCTCTAGCAGGGAGTTGTCCCAGGGACACTGCCAGACCAGTGGGAACTGGTTTGGGAAGGAAAAGCCATGCTTGCAATTGGTAATAAAGGGACCTCAACCTAACTTTTTAACCCCTGGACGGATTCATGTGATTTTTACATATGTTGCTCCCCAAGTTATGATCACAGAAATATAAGTTTTATTCATATGTGATGTAAACTCACAAAGCTATAAAAATGTATAAAAAGTGTAACTTTTCAGCTTGGAGATAATTGAGAAGATACAGTCATCGACTCAATTATCTCCTAAGCAGAGGGGAGGAATATGATGGGTGTGTTTCTATTGTCCCATTGTGTCTGATTAGCTGCTGTACTTGCATTGCATATGTTGTAATGTGTTTATTGGGTGGTCCTATGTAGGGAAAACCTGCATAAAAGAAGGCCCTTTGGTGCCAAGTAATACAGATCTTCTTGACCCTCAATACGTAGCCTTGTCTCGTTATTGGAGGGAAATGCTATATCACACTGGGGATTGCTATGCTCTGCATACTCCCTTGAGCTTTTAATCACTTAGCTCTTTTAAGAGCTGTTCCTGTTACGCTCTCCTGGAGGAGAGGTCTTTCCCACACGGTCCTGGAGGACAGAAGCTGATCCAGGGTGGAAGGAAGACGGCAAGACTCCAGTCAAGCTACAGCGGTTGCAGAGTCTGCGGTGGTTGTGGTGTCTGCTGCAGTGCTTGGAGTCCTCAGGAAGTGCTAGGAGCATCCGTCAATGGAGGTTACTCTGTGGGAGTACAAGGAGCTCCGTTACACACTCTAACCCTTTTAGGAGTGCCCATTCCATCTCTCACCCCACCCCCTCCTTAGTAAGTGTCAGCCCAGCTCAACCCCTCCCATGACACCTATGGCTCCATACTCCGCAATTGGCAATTCCAGATTAATGGGAAATGTGCAAGATTAGCTCCATCCGTGAGCTCGCGTGAACATAGCATCCCACTCTTCCCACCCCCGGGCACGCAGGCATAATGTCCACGTGTACCGGGAGGAGGAAGAGCGGAGGGCCACAGAACGGACAAGCCTGCCTACCCTCATCCAAAGCATTCAAGGTATCGTCCTCATGAATGGCACACCCGTGTTCAAAACCTTTTGGCAATCATAGTTTCAACCCTGTTGATGCAGATTCGAGTCCGGGTATACCCCCCAGAACCGACCTCCTAAGCTTGTTCCATGTGGGGCACCCATATCGTAGGGTTCAAAGCAGTCTATGTGGGGTCATGGTAACTGTGTCGGTCAGAGTTCCCCTGTACCTGAGTTTTGTCTGTTTCATCTGCAAGAGAAGAAGCCTCTGGAGGTCTGCACAATGCGGGTAGTCACCCATCCGGGTATGAAGGTCGAAGTTGCGGCAGTGTAGGCACCAGCGGGTAGAGACATCCGTGCTGGGCCCAGTCTGTATGCTGTATGGTGGATGGTACTCCTCTGACTGGGTCAGATCCGGTCTCCAACTTGGCAGGCCCGCTCCTGTCGGGTCCCTGCCCCGGCGGCAAGGTGGTCTTTGCGGCAGCGGCCTGAGCTCCACGGGGTGAAGAATCTGGTTCTGTATTGCAATAGTGGGCAGCTCCAGCCTTTGTAGAAGCAAGGGGACCTCTTCAGGGCTCCGTGCTGAGATCAGCTCGATATGGTGGCGAACATTGATGCTGAAGGGGAAGCCCCACTTGTAAGGAATGTTCCTTTCCCATAATGTAGTAGTTATCGGTCTAAGAGCTCGCCTGGCATCAAGTCATTGGTGACAGATCTCTGTAAAGGGCAACTTCGGTACCCCTGTAGTTCCAGTGAGAGCAGGTTGTGAGCCTTCTGCATGATTTGCTCCTTTAAGGGGAAGGAGTACAGACAACATATTATGTCCCGCGGGCCTCCTTCAGCACTCCACGGTCTGAAAGCACGATGGGTCCATTCAAATCGGAAGTGGTCTGGAGCATCATCACAGAGGATGATTTGGAAGAGCTGGGTGAGTATTTCTGCAATGCTTGCTCCATCGCCATCAGCCTCTGGAACTCCATGGATCCTTATGTTACTGCGGTGGTCTCTATTGTCGAGGTCTTCAAGTTGTCGCTGCCTTTGGATTGCCGTGTCTGAGGCCCTAGCCTGCTGCTCTACAGCTTCCGTGCGCTGCTCCACCCAGGTTAGGCTGGCTTCATGATCTGCAAAGTCTGCCTTTAATCCTGCGACTTCTGATTTTAGCGTGGCATGTAAGGTGGTAGATACTTGCTGGAGGTCATCTTTGGTGACAATCATGGTAGCCAATTCAGCCCCAATGTCGGCTAGAGTCACATGTTTTCCGCTAGAGCTAGTGGAGGTCGGGGAAGCCGCCGCCATATTGGGCACAAGGGCTCATGTGAGGATCTGACCGGTGTGCAGAGAAAATCATCCATAAGACCCGTGAGTGACCCGGGCAGTTTGTTCTTGGGGGTCTGCGGAGGGTCAGGTTTCTTATATCTCCCCATATGAGCTTGGTGGTTAGGCTGGGATACGCTTATTTTAGCTGGGTGGTATGGAGCTGAGAAAGCAGGCAGCCATCACGCTCGTAGTCCAGACCACACCCCTTAGTGTCCCTAACTTATTAGAGCCCTCTGTCCAATGATTAAAGGGCTTTTAAACTTAACTCTTTCCAGTGCCAAGGCTTCCTCTACATTAACTAGGTCTTCTCCTTCCATAACGTCACATCGATTGGTGGGATGTAATGTGCATGTGTGACTCGAGCTGCATATGCATTAAAGCCTCCCTATAGGAATGCATTGAATTCATCGGAATTTGAAGATTTAGGCATCTTAATGCAAAGCATGAGAACATCCATTGTTGTTTAATGGAGTAAAACCCTGTTAGGGAACAGGAAGCACCTCTGGGAATGGCAATCTGGGAAATGGCCATTTTACATTGCAGGGTTATATAGGAAGGGGCCCTGCATCCAGACCAATTCAATGAGATTAATTGATCTGGGAGCTAATCGTGTTCCTACAGGTAACATGTTACATAAAGAGGCAAATGGTAAGTTCTGTATTTGGAAGTTCAATTTTTAACATTACTAATCCTATGAAGATGATGAAAAGTATGTAATTCAAGATAAGATATGGTATCATAAACACTGATCAGCCCCAACATTAAAACCACCTGCCTAATATCATGTAGTTTCCCCTTTTCTTGCAAAACCTCTGTTTCATTGAGGCATGGACTCCACAAGACCTCTGTAGTGTCCTGTGCAATTTGGCATCAAGATATTAGCACCAGATCCTGCAAGTTGTGCTTGGATTTGTTGTTTCAGCACATCCCACAGATGCTCAATCAAAAGAGGTCACTGCTACCACTATTGTCGTAAAGGGTAGTACATGATCTGCAACAATCTCTAGTTAGGTGGTACATGTCAAAGTAATATCCACATGATTGCCAGGAACCAAGATTTTCCAACAGAACATTGCCGAGAACATAACACTGACTTCACCGGCCTGCCTTGTTCCCATAGTACATCCTGCTGTCATCTTTTCCCCAGGTAAACAATGCACATGTACCCAGCAATACTCCTGATCTAAATGAAAACATGATTCCTTGAACCAGACGATCTTTTTCCATTGCCCCATGGACAAGACCCAGTTGAAATGCTTTCAGCAGTGGACAGGGGTCATCATGGATTCTAACTGGTTTGAGGCTATGTAGCCCAATAAACAGCAAACTTCAATGCCATTCATGTCTTGACAGCAAACAAATATGCACTGTGTGTTTTGACATCCTTCTCATGGCCAGCATTATGTTTTCAAGCAATTTGTGCTACACTAGGTCTTCTATATGACCAGCCCAGATGGGTTAGCCTCTGTTCCCCATGTGCATCAATAAGCCTTGGGCACCCATGACCCTGATGCCGGTTCAGCTGTTATCAATCCTTGCACCACTTTTGGTAGGTACTAACCATTGCATACCAGGAACATCCCACAAGACTTGCCATTTTGGAGAGGCTCTGACCCAGTCATGTAGCCATCATAATTTGATTCTTGCCAAAGTCACTCATATCTTTTTGCTTGCCCAATTCTAACACATGAAATTGACTGTTCACTTGCTGCTTAATATATTCTACCCCTTGACAGGTACCATTGTAACAATATAGTCATTGTTATTAACTTCACCTGTCAGTGGTTTTAATGTTATAGCTGATTGATGTATGTGTAGGTAAAATCCTAGATGTGGTATTAAAAAGTGACTGATTTTATATGGTTGCACAGAGAATAGCATGTACTAATTCTAACACAGCGAGACAAAAAAGAGCCTGAATTACTTAAAAACGAGACAAAGATGATTGGATAGTTAATGTTTACTCCAGTGACAAACAGTAATTCTGACTTCTGTTAAATCTAACACTTCCTACAGAGAACCATTGGGGGCAGAGGGACATGCCGGGGTCCACCAATTGCATACTTCTCTTTGAAAAGTATTGAATCAAATGCTTCTTTATAAAATAACTTAAAAATGTTCAGCATTATAATGCTGGGTGTTATAACACAGAACATGAAGATCTTTTGATTTTTGAAGTTATTCATAAGAAATAGCCTCAGTCTTACAGCCACCTGAGGTATGTTATCAAACTAATGTAAACATTACAATTTGTGGAAATTAGCAATGATTTTACATTGTCCTAAAAAGGGGACTGCGCCTAACACCAAAACAACTTTAAGATGACATGGTTTTGGTGTTTAGAGTCTCTTCATCCATAGTTAAACATATTTTAAAACATATTTTAATAAACTTACTAAAATAGTAAGCCTAAGATTTGGACTATTGTCATTCCTTAGAAATCACTATCCGTGAAATAAAAAAAGATGCATTTTCTAAAATTTTCAACTGAAATTTATTGTATTGGCACAAAAGGATGCAAAACATGAAATTGTTCTATTTTTCTGTACTAAATCTCTGCCAATCTCCAACAAATTACTCTGCATACGAAGAAAAAAGCAGCAGTGACCTTTTTTGAATTATGCAAGAGCTGAAATTTTCTAAAATTGGCATATTTACAAGTGGCTGTATGTCATTGATTAATGTCATGCTCACATTCTTACAAGGTCTGCAAGCAGTGATAATCTAAAACTGGCATATTCAATATGAATCATTTGTAAGAAGTATAGAACTTTAAATTGGATTCCAACAATGGAGCATACAGTTTATATTGTTTTTCCTTTTTTATTCTGTTTGCTGTATAAAAAGTTGAAATTTAAGAACAGAAATGAGTTAAAAGCATTCATTTATGATACACATATTTGAAACATTTCAAGACATTGAACACAACAGAAAAATCATTTTATCTAATTTATTTGTCAAATTTCTCAATTTTTATTGATTTTTCAACAAAAGAAGGGTTAACATTGTAACAAGTGTAAAAGTACATACAAGGAAATTAATTCTCAAAAAGGGTGGTAACGTCTCCAGACATCTGCATATTTAAAGTTCTAAATACAATAAGAGCATCGCTATATACACAATGGTTTTTACCCATTTTGGTAAGACATCCCACGCATGTACAATTGGCTCTTCTATTCATTCACATGAGTTACAATTGTGTACAAAATTACAATTCTATTGGGAGAAAACCAGGGAGGAAAGAAAGGAGATGTAGATTGGGGGAAAATGAGGAACACCATACATGTTACGCCTGATTGTTAGTAGTATATCCTGTTGCACTCTGTCCTATGCGACCTTCTTGCCTGTCCAGCAACACAATGTTTTTGCAAATTTGGACAGTTCCCCATTTAATCTGTAGCTCGGGTGCTCATAGTCATAGGTGGTATGTAACCTATTCCATGATTTAGATAGGGAGGGGGCCATATTGCCTTTCCAGTGGTTAGCTATACTAATTTTGACAGCTAACAGGTTGTGGCATATCATCGTTTTATGCTGAGAAGTCATGATTTCTGGGGATAAATGCAGGATTCTGGACTAAGAGGTAGGTTTACTGAGGTAGGACTGATGGTGACCGCTTGGGGCAGTCCCAAAAGATGTGTCTTGGGGTGCCTTCTTGCTGCTTGCAATGCCAGCATGAGGGAGACGTCGTGGGATATATCCTGGCTAACCTGGCAGGTACCAAGTACCATCGCAATAGCAATTTGCAGTATGACTCCCAATGCGTGAGGCTAATAGAGGAAGTACGTGTCATTTGTAGCATTTGCATTTGTATTTCTGATACACCCCTGGCCAAACGTCATTAAGTGTGATTCAGTGCAGTATCGTATTTTGGCTGAATGTGTAAGATGCTTAATTCTAAGGTACGTAAATAACTCCTTGGATGGGAGTGAGACTTCAAATATTTCAGTGACGTTTTCCTCCAGTCGAAGGGGTGAAGTGATTGTAGTGTCTAAATTATGTCTTAGGGGAGACAAATAGGCCTGTGTTTTCTTACTATTGTTTTTGTAGTATGATACCTTCCCGTAGTCATTAAGTAGCTCCATTAGTGTCGGGATCAATGTCTCTGGTTGTGTGAGAAACAGCAGCACATCATCCACAAAGAGTGCTATTTTTTGTGGGCCCGCTGGAGTATTGAGCCTGGTAATCTGAACCTACTGTTTAATGTGGCCTTCTAGGGGTTCCAAGCATAAACTGAATATAAGTGTGTGATTGTGGGCATCCCTGCCGGGTGCCATTACTAATGTAGAAGGTATCTGATAGAAAACGCGAGTTAAACACTTTTGCCAAAGGGGCTTGGTACAGGGCCATGATTCCCTTAATGAAAGAATAGGAGAACCCCAGTTTAGACAAAGTAGCCTGCATGTAGGCCCAGTTCAGGTGATCGAACGCCTTTTCCACGTCAAGTGCTAGAATGGTCGCCTCCTGCCTACTTGATGATGCCCAGTCTATTAAGTTTATAAAATATCTGGTATTAGCACCGGCCTGCCTACCAGGGAAAAATCCTGCCTGCTCTCTCTATGGATACCAGCTCTGTCAGTAGTGGTTTAATCTGTGATGCCAGAAGCTTTGCATAGATTTTGACATCTGCATTCAGGATGGAGATTAGACGGAGGTTTTCACAAAGCTTGGGGGATTTACCTGGCTTGGCTATTGTTACTACGTGTGCTTGTAACATGTCTTTGGGCATTGATCCATTAATTTCGATTTCATTAAAGAGTTTAATGAGGAAGGGGGTTATTACCTGATCCAGCTTGATAAAGTAGTAATTTGAGAACCCGTATGGGCCTGGTGATTTGTGTTTAGGTAATAGTATCGTTAGTCAGACCTCTTCCTCTGTAAATGGATTGTCTAATGGGTCACTCTGTTGCTGTGTTATTTGTGGGAGGGTTACCTTATTGAAAAAGTGTCTTATGGAATCCTGAGTGGGTTGGTGTGGTGCGAGGTCATCTTTTAGCTTGTAAAGTGTAGTGTGGTATTTTGCTAATACGTTGACAATGTCAGAGGGGTTATATAATTTTGCTTTTTGGGATGACTGAATTAAAGGGATTTAGATTGAATATATTTTGCCCTGAGTTTATTTTCAACTTAGTACATACATAGTACTTCAATTTAAGTGCCCTCATCTGCTTTTCTGTGTCTAGCACCGATATAGCATGAAGACCCTTTTGTATTGTATCTATCTGTTTTGTTAAAGTCTTACATGGTCGTGTTTTGTTTTGTGTCAAGAGCTATCAGCTCCCGTGTCAAGTGGGCCTGTTCGTCTGCGTTTTTATTTTTCCGTCGCGAGTCACACTGAATTAATATCCCTCTCATCACAGCTTTGTGCGCTTCCCAAATGGAATGTAGAGGAAGTGAGTCAGTCATATTGTCTGTGAAATAGTCTGTGGCCAGCGTGGTGAGTGCCGACAACGTGGCAGCATCGACTAGCAGCCCTTTGAGTCTCCACTTCCCCCCCCACTAGCTGGGTGAAGGGACCAAAATGTGACTGTAACTGGGGCATGGTCTGACCATGTTCGGGTTCCTATTGTCACTTCATCTATATTTGGCAGGGTTATTTTGTCCACCAGGCACATGTCTATATGCGAGTAGGTCATATGGACCTGGGAGAAATATGTAAAATCTTTGATGGGTACTTAGTGCACCATGAGTCGTAGAGGTCAAGTTCAAACACTAATTTGGAAAACTGTGTGCTAATAATCTTGACAACAGACGTGGGCCTCTTTCCCACTCCCGTCTAATATCAAACCCGTCTAATATCTAACTCCGCATTTAGGGTGCAAGTAAAATCCCCACATATGATTGTGTGGCCTTTTTTCATGGAGCCAATTTTTTTGAAATGTTTTACGAAGGAACGATATCTGGGTCTCGTTTGTGGCATAGACTGACGATATAGTGATTTGCATTCCGTTTAGTGACCCCACCAGTATCAGAAGTCAGCTCGTTGGTCCGCATACTGTTCAATTTCTTGGAATACCCAGTCAGAATGAAAAAAAAATAGAAACCTCTTTAGATTTTTTTAGAGGAATAAGCATGGTATGTTTAAGGGTATTTTTTGTATGGATTTGTAGGGGTTTACAGGAGCAGAAATGGGCATACCACTGCTGATTGGGATTTGTGCATGTCTTGTATTGCTAGGCGGCGTTTGTGAGGGCTGTTTAGGCCTTTAACGTTTAAGGAATAAATTTGGTGTTGATTTAGTCATGGTTCTGGTATAATTTGGAGAACTAGATATCTTGTGTTATACCAACTGCGTTGTATTAAAAGACCAATTGCGTTGTATTAAAAGAAAATAAGTGTAGTGTGGGTGCGTTGGGGCCCCCGTGCTATCCCAGGTTGCTTCCATAATTGTCCCTGGGTTCCCTGTATCCCTGGGGCTGTGGCCATGTGCGTGTGGCCATGTGCGTGTTAGGTATTCCTTGATTGGTGTGTAAGAATGTGTAGGGGGGGATAGGGAAGAGAAATGAAAATTGTAGGGCAAGGGAGAAAAAGAAAATAAAGTATTTACATAAAACCTTTGCTAAACAAGCAAATTTAAGGCAGAGAAGAGGGTCTCTGCCCATACTTCGGTCACTGGGTGGGGCGGAAAAAATCCTCACCAGTAAGTAGCCCATTTGGTTTCTTGGCTTAGCCAAACAAAACAAAAACATGCAATACATATATCATAACATTAACAAACTTGTACTGCACTCCAGAGGGTCGTCTCAGTCTTGTATGTATTGCCCTATCAATCCTGTTTCAGGAATCAATTTAGATGGGTTGTGACTGCATCGTATCGCCTATATTGGGGATACCGTGAATGCAATCGCCTCCTCATGAGGCACTGAGTTAGGCTCAGTGGCTGTGGGTCCTCAATCAGGGTCCTAAAGCTAATGGGGCTTGTGGGCTAATGGGGCCTCTGACTATGCCAGTTACGGCCTTTGTCATTATGAGAGACGGGTCACCAATACCCGTCTTAGCAAGATAAAATGCACATACATTGCTTTTACATCAACCCATATATCCACACAGGGATTGTGTTTTTTTTTTAAACCAATATTTGTTAGCGGTTGTGTTATAGATGCGCATTGCTTCCTTGAGCTTCTGGCAAAAATATCTCTAATATGCTGCTGCCCATCCCATGTGTTCCCTATTAAGGGTTAATAAGCATGTAGGGATGTATGTAAAAAAATACCCCTTTCTGTCTCATTAGAGATATTTTTGCCAGAAGCTCAAGGAAGCAAGGCGAAATTTGTTTAAAAATACATAGGGATGTGGAAAGAGCGCAGATAAACTATATGGAGAAGATTTTAGAACTCCACTACCCAGGCAATTTACACCAAAACTGTTGTTAACTATTAAGGGAAAATAAAGGCAGCTTCCCTACAAATATCTGTGTAACTTTTGCTAAATGGCAAACGCATTGTGAAAATATGGCAACAATGGATACTCAAGTGCTGGGTGTAGATACAGCTCATTAGTCCCAGTTAGTCCGCAGTATTCCAGCTGGGCCCCGCCGTTGCTCCCACCATCTTCCATTCCGGTCAAAGCTTCTTTGGCGAGGGATTGCGGGTCGGAGAAGATCCCAGAGCATGGTGAATGCCCCACTCTTTTAATTTCACGATCCCCACCTCCAGTTCTGAGATCACCACTGACTGTCCTCTGTATGAAACCAGCAGCTTAGTTGGGAACCCCCACTCTCCGCAAAGATCTGAATACTTTGGTACGGTTCAGGTAAGTTGGATATCTTCCATGCTGCGGTCATGAGTTGCTCCTTAGAGCCGTAGTAGTGTAATCTTGCAATCACGTCCTTTGGGGTGTCTGCTGAGAATCTAGCTGGTCTGGGTAGTCGATGTGCGCGGTCGAGGAGCCATGCGGAGTCTTCAAACTTGGGAACCAAAGTCTTACACAAGGCTTTACGGTATTGCTGTAAGGCGTTGTGTGGGACAGAGTCAGACAGAGAGTGTTCCTTCGCGACCTGTCCTGCATTTTAGTTTGTTTCAATGTGTGATGATCTTCCTCCAGCTGCTGGAGCCTGTGCGCTACATCATTGTGTGCCGTGCATAACTCCTTGGCATTTGTTTCCAAGTGGCTGGTTCGGCTACCAATGTCCGCTATGTCTTTCCGGCTATGATTTTAACATGAATGTGGATAATTAAAAAATAGATTATTTTTTTTAAATGTTCATACATGTACTCAAGAAAGAACTGTGATAAGTTGAAAACTAAATGGGCAAAATTTAATGATCTAGAAATATTCTCTAATATTCTCTGAAGGGTTGCCCAATAGGTAGATTCTTTGATGTTGAACTACAACTTCCATGATGCTTTGTCATTCTAAAGGCATGCAAAGCACATCGGAGTTATAGTTCTACAACATCTGGGGATCTACCTATTGCGCAGTCCTACTTTAATCGTCCAATGCATCTATAGTCATTTAGTCTATATAGTCTATTTTAGCTAAAATTGCAGACATCAGTTATGCCTGTTACTTGTTTTTGTTTAACTTCATTTTTGTTTTTGCTAAACATGCAGCATAAAGAAATAAAACATGTATACATATTCAACAGAATGAAGTGGTTTATATTTTGTGAGAAGTAAAGTAAAGAATATAAAACTAGTGATTTTACCTAGTTTCATTAATTAAAAAACAAAACACATTTACATTGACTAAACTGAAGCTAATTGTTATAGTGCAAAAAAAAAAAAAATGTGTGCAAATGTATACATTTAAATTTATTTGGTGAATGATTAAATTTTAAAAAATGTTTTAAATGAGATGTACTAATGTCACAATGGAATTGTAAATTACATATTTAATTCTTCAATATAAGATCATTATACACATATAGGGTTTAATCACAAAACCAGGAGTTTGATTATTGTTCCATTTTATTGATTTTGTTCTACAATTTAAAATTCCTTTGAAAAATTCCAAACTTAAGTGATAGTTAAGTCTTGTTGGCATAATTTACATTACATAATATTATATATATATATATATATATATATTGCGTTTTCAGACTTTTGGGAAAATTTTACTTCGGTTTTCTCAATTGTGTCCATTGCTGAAATCATCAAGCATTGGGAGGCTAGAGCGCATGTGCCTAGCTGTGTCAATCAAATGCTGCTCTTACAGAACCAAATGTTACCCTGTTCTCACAGGAAAGCACCTATATCTCTACAAAACCGCACATTTTACATTGCAGGATTAAAACTAAAGACCCAATGTATCTAGTACTACTTCACGGATATGAAGTGGTCTGACTGTCTTTAGTGGCCCTTTAGAAACTTCAGTGTCTATTAAAAAACATTTGCAAAAATGCTAATCTAATGCTAAGTATTGAACTGTAATTATTTAACAAGTGCTGAACTGCAATGTCCTGATTTTATTGTGTATATTCTAATTTACAGAAAATGTTTTTGTAACAAAATCTTTAGGTAACTCTCCATTAAATATCAATCATCTTATTAATCTCCCAAACTAATACCTTATAGCTCACAGTCTACCCATTTGCAGTTTTCCTTGAAAGAACTAGCTGATTCCAATGTTATGTTAATTACCCATTCACAACTGAAATGCAAGTCTCTTCTTCATGTACATGCTTGACAAGACAGATCATTTTGAATTGCGATAATTGACACTACTTTTGAAATAACAATTGTGATTTCAAAGTATCTAACTGTCTGGAAATGTCATTAAATTTGCACCTATAATAGTCTCAGGAAACATTTGAACTCCTAAACCCGTTTCCAGGTATAGAAAATAATTGAATATACTAGTCATCACAGATGAGAACTTTCCTTTAGTGATAACCATGTATGCAACAGAAGTAGCAGTAGTAATATAAGTGATAAATACAATATAAGAAGTAGTAGTAATACAAGTGAGTTATACAATATAAGTAGTAGTAGTAATAGAAGTAATATATACATTAGTGGTAGTAGTAGAAGTAACATATACATTATAAGTAGTAATATAAGTGATACATACAATAGTAAAGGTAGTAGTAATAGAAGTGATATATACAATAGAAGACGTAGTAGTAATAGAAGTGATATATAATGCTATAAGTAGTAGTAGTAGTAATATAAATGTTATATACAATATAAGTAGTAGTAATGGAAGCAATAAACATTTACCTACTTTCAGTGCATAATATGTTTACGCCATTTTGTCACAGACAAAATACAATAACAATAATGCATAAACAAGCTTCAAGGCTATGCTACGACTCTTTCAGTACATAATATACTGCGGTAACCCTAAATAGATAAAGATGTTCAGACTTTAAGATGTCATCTTGACCTAAGTCAGGGAATTTCCCATGACTTGTGCACCCTTACGTTTTAGTTATGACCGTGTAACTTAAGTTAAGAGAGGTCCTAAAATGACTAAAGTAAAAGAAGTGTTACTTTTTCATATATGAACTACGGTAACCCTAAAATGAAGACACCTAAGGTATAAATATTTGTACCTTAAATGTTAACACAGAGAGGAGAGATTTGAAGACAGATGCTGCTCCATCTTATAATGTCAGAGAGGCTGACATGATGATATTTTCTGGAGGGTATGTTATTCTATTAATGATATTGCAAGTATATCGTTTAATCTTATAAACTCTGCTATAAATTATTGTAATGGATAGTATATGTCAATATTTATATTTTTATTTAATACAATATCTAAAAGACAAAACTTTATTGCTTCCAAGACAATCCTTATTGTGTATTGTATTCTCAATTATTTATATACTTTAAATAAGGATCTTTTACTGACTCTATAAAGTTCTCTCTGTAGCTGCGTAAGTTTGCATGGGCAGAAAAAAAGATGTTGTCAAGAGAAAAGTGACAAGACAAAGCGATGAAAGCAACACTTGCTATTATATTACTAATAGATTTCAAAGTCTAATTCCAAAAATGCAAAGAAAATAGTATTATGGCTTAATGAAAACATTCATGCCGCAGAAGCAACAGACACACTGGATTTTTAATTATTGCATTACTGCCTTCTTGATTGTAATATCCACTATATATGAAAAGTTTTTCATAAAACAGTGATAATTTCCATATTGTCAGTTACATTTGTTTTTTTTTTTTTGTTTTTTTATATTCCAAGTTATGAACAACTTTATTATACAGCCATAAAGAGAAAGACATGGCTTTTAAAAACATTTATTACTGTACAATGCAGTACACTGCAGCGTATATTTTATATACTACAGGTGATAAAATTTGAATATCGTGCAAAAGTTCATTTATTTCAGTAATGCAACGTAAAAGGGGAAACTAATATATGAGATAGATGCATTACATGCAAAGCAAGATAGTTCAAGCCGTGATTTGTCATAAGTGCGATGATTATGGCTTACAGCTCATGAAAACCCCAAATCCACAATCTCAGTAAATTAGAATATTACATGCAATCAATAAAACAAGGAGTGGACATAGAACAATATCAGACTTCTGAAAAGTATAAGCATGCATATGGACTCAGTACTTGGATTGGGCCCCTTTTGTAGCAATTACTGCCTCAATGTGGCGTGGCATTGAAGCTATCAGACTATGGCACTGCTGAGGTGTTATGGAAGACCAGGATGCTTCAATAGCGGCCTTCAGCTCTTCTGCATTGTTTGGTCTCATGTCTCTCATCTCTTTTTTGGCAATGCCCCATAGATTCTCTATGGGGTTCAGGTCAGGCGAGTTTGCCTGGCCAATCGAGCACAGTAATCCCACGGTAATTGAACCAGGCTTTGGTGCTTTTGGCAGTGTGGGCAGGTGCCAAGTCCTGCTGGAAAATGAAGTCAGCATCCCCATAAAGATCATCTGCGGAAGGAAGCATGAAGTGCTCCAAAATCTCCTGGTAGATGGCTGCATTGACCCTGGACTTAATGAAGCACAGTGGACCAACACCAGCAGATGACATGGCTCCCCAAATCAACACAGACTGTGGAAACTTCACACTGGACTTCAAGCATCTTGCAGTGTGTGCCTCTCCATTCTTCCTCCAGACTCTGAGCAACAGACCAGGTCTGTTTTTCTTTAGCCCAGGTAAGACGCTTCTGACGTTGTTTGTCTTGACAAGAGGAATACGACATCTGAAGCCCATGTCCAGGATCTTTCTGTGTGTGGTGGCTCTTGATGCACTGACTCCAGCCTCAGTCCACTTCTTGTGAAAGCCCCCAACACATTTGAATGGCCTTTTCCTGACAATCCTCTCCAGGCTGTGGTCATCCCTGCTGCTTGTGCACCTTTTTCTTCCACACTTTTCCATTCCACATAACTTTCGATTAATGTGCTTTGATAGAGCACTTTGGGAACATCCAACTTCCTTCGCAATTACTTTTTGAGGCTTTCCCTCCTTTATGGAGAGTGTCATTGATGGTTTTCTGCACAACTGTCAGGTCAGCAGTCTTCCCCATGATTGTGATTTCTACTGAACCAGACTGAGAGACCATTTAAAGGCTCAGGAACCCTTTTCAGGTGTTATGGCTTACTTAGCTGATTAGAGTGGGACACTGTGAGCCTATACTATTGCACCTTTTCACAATATTTTAATTTACTGAGATTGTGGATTTGGGGTTTTCATGAGCTGTAAGCCATAATCATTGCACTTATGACAAATCTTGGCTTGAACTATCTTGCTTTGCATGTAATGCGTCCATCTCATATATTAGTTTCCCCTTTTACGTTGCATTACTGAAATAAATGAACTTTTGCACGATATTCTAATTTTTTCCAGAATCACCTGTATATGCTAAATCAGGGCAAAATAAAATTGTAAATATACAGGATCTCTGATAACTTTTAAACGGAAATTGTTGAAAGGATCATTTAAATGAAATGTTAAATACATTCACAGCTTTAAATTTGACCAAAAGATACTAAA